AAGATCAATGTCAGGACGTTTGTTTTAAACACAGGCATTTACCATGGGACAGCCTCCTGGCCAGGAGCGTCACCTCATGTGATTTCGGGATGGAGAGGGGGCTGCGCCAGTGTTGAGCCATTCCCTCCAATACCCATCTAAGCCCCCACAATAAGTATGGGCAAAAAGGCAATATCGAACCGAAGAATTGAAGGAGAGCTCTGTCCACTATTAGAACAGCACGTACCTAACACGCAATAATTTGCACCACGTTCCTTCTGTATCAAATAGTATCCTAAAGCTACCTAACGTCTTTGTCACGCTCACTTTTCATATGACAGGCCAGTCTGCACATGTTTGACAAGTTTTGCACATGATAACACCTGGATTGGGATAAAGAACAATGGCCTACAACATCTGACAGCTATCAAAAGCACTAGCTGGCCAAGAAAATTAGCTCAGGTTTCCCGCAACAGTGGCAAAGGCATGAATCACAGAATCATAGCGGTGGCGGCATTCTCCCGCTAATGTAATGGTAAAACGCGATCAGCGACGGCAGGCAGCCATCCGTGATTCCGCATCCGTCAAACCGTGACAGAAAACGTTGCTCGAGGTCGGTCCCCTGGTGGTCCAGCATGAGCGACAGCACAGCCTGCTGCATGTAGCCAATTGTCCGATCTTTTGCCCACGGTGATGTGCCCATTTTGGAACCGACGAACAATCTTTTTGTTTTAACATCGGAAATGTGCATTCAAGTGGCCGAAATTCGTGGAGAAATCTGGTTTGGGGATGGGCTAGATCAACCTGCTGAGCCAAGCCTCCTTTCACTCCTCATCCAAGCAGGCGACACTCGTGCCCCTGGCGCTGGTTTGGATGACGTCATGGCGTTGATTTCCTCTGAACGTATCGGTGTACATTCCACAAAATCACCCAGGACGACCCCCGACTCGTCACGTCGCTGAACGCTTGTTCTGGGATCTGATCCATACACGGCGTCCTGGGATGTCCAGAGGCAGCACAGACCCCACACCCGGGACCAGTCACACGCCAGCTGCGCACTAATCCCTACCCAAAGCGAGTCTTCGCCGGCCATCCTGTTCGCGGATTATACTTATTATTAATTAATTTAAATGCGTTGTTCCGAGACCATTGGCCATCTCCCCACTGGCCACAGCTGCATGGATTCATTTCATTCAGCAGAGCTATGCAGGAACTGCTGAATGACCACGACCTGGACTGGTGGCAGCGGAATTTCGCCTTTCCCTGAACCAGTCGTTCATGTACGAACTGTCGCACTCACATAAATCACGTGGCACGTGGCACGTGGCCCAGTGCTGCTTGTCATCCGTGCCAAGTTACAACATCCTTGAGCACTGCACGGCTGACCTAAATCCACATGAGCCCATAGTTTGACATTCGACCTTGGGCGGAGACAGCATCCCCATGACGAAAATCATGCTTCGAGAATTGGCTCATCACCCAGCATTCACAGCTACATCTGCAACGCGAGGAACGGACGTTCCAGAGCAGTGCTCCAAACACCCTTACTGGCCTTCCCACCAACTTGTGGAAGAAGCCCTGACAGCCCGAATGAACTGGAAGCATTCATCCCTAAAGTGGCCATGTCGCTGAGGTGGAGGCTGGCCACGCTAAGCCCCGGCGTCCACACAGGCGGTGGCTGTGGGTCCGCGGGGCCGGACCGCGCGCGGCTCCGGCACGGACCGGCAACAGAGCGCGGCCGCCTGACCCATCATGTGCAGAAGCGCTATTGTGATGCCCGACGCACCCGCCAGGGCAGCTCGAGATCATATGCGATCTAAACGCTAATCAACGAGCTGTCTTTCCCACGTTCTCCGCAGATGGGGGCATTCGTCTATTCATGAATGAGAGGTGGCAGTTCACTCGCCCCTTGATCCTGCCCCGCGTGCCTGGGGTAGGCTGCATGCGCCAGCCATGAGTGGGCGGAAGTGCCTCCTGGTGGTGGCCCATTGCGGCCCGAGCAACGAGCACGAACGCACGCACGCACGCACGCACGCACGCGCACGCGCACGCGCACGCGCACACGCACACGCACACACACACCGCAGAGGGGGCTCCTGAGTGGGAATAGCCTCCGCGGATGGGTCCTCAGGTGCATATAGCTTGCCCTACCGTTATCCATCACCCACATCCCAGAACCTTGAAATTGTCTTGACTCGCCGAAACAGCTCTTATCCAACTAACCAATATAGCTGACAGGCCCTTCCAAATCTTGGATTTAAATAGTGGTTCCAACCACTCCGGACGTGCCGGATATGCTCCGAAGCAAGGCCGCTTTTGTGATCGCTTCGCCCCACGATGCGGGTTCGTCCAGCACCGTAGGACGGCCCTGACATCGCTCATGGCTCTCCACACCATCCCACGGCAAGTCAGACGCCATCCGCCGGCATATGCGACCAGTAAGGCATCTGGGACGTGTTTCGAGAGCATGTGGCACTACCGCCCCTTGCTCCGACTGGCGGAACTATTGAGTGATCCTCGCGTCATCTGAAGGTGGCTTTGTATCACCACTTAAAATCGTGTGTGGCCTTTGGCGGTCAAAGATTGAGGAAGTGCAGCATCCCCCGCCGTGCGGAGCAGGGGGCAATTTTGTCTCAAATCCTCGCAAACGCGTCCATGCTCCCACCCTTGGAGCACCTGGACATAAGAACACGGAGCTGAACTGCTTGGCTGCCACGCTCCTATTATGTTATGCCGAACACTTACTGCTACTCTCCACTCACCACCCACACCAGGCATGCGGCTGGAGCTGAACTGCTTGGCTGCCACGCTCCTATTATCTGTTATACCGAACACTTACTGATGAACTCCATTCTCCACCCACACCAGGCATGTGGCTGGAGCTGAACTGCTTGGATGTCACGCTCCTATTATTTGTTATGCCGAACACTTACTGCTAAACTCCATTCTCCACACACAACAGGCATGTGGTTTCTTACATACATAGCTGAGGAATTGTAGTGAAATAGAGGCTTGATTTAACTGATTTAACTGATGCACAGCGAACAGAAACCAAGTCACTGTCACGTACAAGTCACCAAGCCACTGTCCGTGGTATTGGAGTTTGGAACAACGCAGCTGGCATAGAATGCTTTTTGGAAACTATATGGTCTCCAGCTCGCCGAGGCCCCCATTCTGAGCGCTTCAGTGTAGTACTGAGCGGCGATGTGAGCGCCACCAGCGGGTAAAACGTGCTAACAGAGCCCTCTACTGCCCGCCCCCCGCCGAAATGCCGAGCACTGCAGCGACAGTTCTGATCAACCCCTGATAATACCGCAATCGGTTTTATTCAAATTTGTTTCTTTTTTACCATTTTACGGTGATGACGTCTGAAGTCAAACGCGTGTATTCGTCAACGTAGCTCGCTTTGACATACGCTACTTGCAATGGATTAACAAGCTTATTCATTACGCGTTTTCACCACGCCAAAACAGCCCAAGACATGATTGTGAATTCAACACTGAGCAGTGCGACTGGGACCCATGCCTTACGCCACTACGGGCTTGACGGTTTTCGGTACCACTCCAATGATATAATATATAACTCAATGATACTCTGGCTGCTTGACCCGCACATTCTGGATGCTTGGGAGGCATTCTTTTGTTGCGTATTGTTTTTTTGTTGTTGGGGGGGGGGGGGGCGGGGCAATGGCTGCAATAACACTCGATACAAAACAGGTCCACTAGTAGCAGAAATTGGGCGGGGTTTTCCAGCGTTTGACTGTCCATTCATAAAACGCACAAAAATGGGCATGTTTCCAACCCCCACCAACCCACAAAAAAATCACATCCAGATTAGGCCAGGGCGACTTTTCAAGAAGCTGTACTCGCTTAACGCGGCCTTAAATGAAACCCGTGATATAGCAAGACACCCCGGCTGACGTTCCCAGTAGGAACGCTAGCAGGGAAGTTGCAGATAGTTAGGTGCACGTACATTTTGAATGCACCAGCAGTCCTTTTTTACCCTCTAATATGTTCTGACATGAGCGTGTTGACAACTACCCCCCCCCCCTTAGAAAAAAATTCAGTTTTACGCGTCATGGGTCATACCCACAACATTGTGTAAGGTACATGTCGTTGATGGTTAAGTTATGTTATATGCTGTTGTTGACGTTTTCAATTGCTTTTTTTTAGTTTTGCAGATCGGATCTATGAAACTCGTGTTCCGATCTAGGGAACTATCAATGATCTAGAGGGTAAAATCAGACATCACATAAAAAGGCACAAGATAACGTGAGATTTTAAGTGCATTTGCGAGGAACAATATGCATATGGATGATTAAGCATTAAAACAGGAGAAGGAAAAGATAGATGTGACGTGTCGGCTACATGTCTTTATCGAAAAGAATATTCGGCGACACGATATTCGTTTCGATAATGGCATGTAACAAATATCACATCTATATCTCCATTCTTCTGTATTTTTTATACAAGGGAATAAGGTTAATACTGTCTCAAAAAAGTACAAAATTCAACTGCATCATATGAGCGCTCTCATCATAATGCTGACAAGGTGAGTATATAGTATTTTCACACATTTGGTGGGTTTTAATACCTGCATAAACAGCCCTTTCATTTTAGGTTATGTGGGATTAAAAGTCAGCAAGAAGCAATCAAGCATGGCAGAACGAAAAGTGAGCAGTCGGACTATGTTGAAACCAAGGCAGCTAACAACGTTCCACTGTGTGTCTGTTAATTTCGTTCCAAACGTCCATTTCGTCAACTTTAAATGATAATGGATCATGATAATATTCCTGTTGACTGGTGTGCAGGTTAAAATCCGGTTGTTTCGCTCACACGGATGAGGCTGCAGGGACGAGTGGCGCACGCAGCGGCCGCGAATGTCCCCAGCATGCACCCCGCCAGAAACACGAGACCACTTCGGCACGCCACCGCAGCCGGCGGATCCCGGCAGATCAACGCGACCGTGCGACACCAAGTCCAGATGTGCTGGGGCGGGCGGCGGCCGCAGCACCGACCCACCTTCATCCTCGTGCTGCTGCTCGGGCGGCGGCGGCGGCGGCGGCGGCCCGGCGCCCGGCGGCGATGTGACGGCGCCGTTCAGCTGGTCGGCGGAGGTGGGCGGCGGCGCGCCCTCGGCTGGCGTCACCACCGTCTCGGATGTGGTCCGCGAGCGCGGCGCGCCAGACGTCGCCGCCTGCGCCACCATCTTCGCGAACTCAGCCGCCACACCTGTGGTGCCCTGGCGAGCAGACGGCCAGCCGTCAGCGCCCGCCGCCCCGGCCGTCCAAAGCCGCGTGGCAGGGCGTCAAGTCCGGCCAGCGCGAGCACCCCTCAATCAACAGCTTCAATGGCGGAGCATTGCAAAAACAAACCGGACGGTCGCACCACCGCGTATCAGACACGTGCGACCCACAAATTATATTCCTGCTGAGCGCGCATACCCGCGGCTCCAACGTCGCCACCAGAGGGTGCCTCATCGCACGAGACAGGGCCGCACCTACCCCTTGCGTGGCGGAGGCCTCCTTGTCGGCGCCGCCGGCCGGGGCCGGCTCCTCCCGCGACGTGGACACCTCCTTGCCCGTGTCCGGGTTGATGATGGCTATCCGCCGGCTGCCGCGCGACGGAGGCGCGGCCGGCGCGGCCGGCGCCGCTGGCTGCGGCAGCGGCAGCGGCACCTGGCGCTGCGCGTGCTGCTGAGACACGCCGTAGTGCATCGACGGGCCCTGCGGCTGCCACACCGGCTGCGGGTACACGTGGCCTGCCGCGGCCAGAGCCGCCGCGTTACAGGTGGCTGTGCGACGCCAAGGCGGCGGTCGGCCGCCGCGCCACCCCAACATCCACACAACTGCACGAGCGCTCCGTCTCCCGCGGCCTAGCCTGGCACGGACGTACGCGTTGAAACTAACTACATGGAACACTGGCCACTTGTGGAACAGCGAAATAATCGACACAGGTTGAAGAGCGGCGTTCAGGTGCAACCCAGTGCTAAGAAATGTAGGTTTTTGTGCAAGAACTTTGTCCACAGGAGCTGAACAAATAACATTCAGCCATCTGTTTGAATCTGGTTCTCCCACATGTCTTCGCAGATAGTCCTTGACAGCATGATCACATCTAAACACTTCATTTTCAGGAGAATAGCACCTTGCATGCATATAAAAGAGACAGTGTCACTTCAATTTCCATGGCAATGATAGTTTCCCACCATACCTCGTGGTTGGTTAAGCCCACTTGTAATTTGGGATACATCCTAAAACTTAAGATTTGAAATCGTCATTGTTTTACAAAACACATTATTGAGCTGGCTATAAGCATTACAATTTCTGATACTGATTTCAACTGGGAACACAACCACAGCTAAGAGCATGTTTTGGCCCAAGGACATATGCTTTAAGGCTATGCACTTATGGCATACTTCAACTCAGTACACATGTCTATTTGGAGTGCATCTCTGTGCTCGGGGAGTACCCACTAACACTGCATGCACTTAATGACCGTAGATTGGGCAGGGCACTGAAACTGGCTGATAAGTATTTCCTCTGGTTCACAAATTGTGTGATTGTGAGAAGTACTCAGTAGCTGGGATTGAACATATTTGTCAGCTTGATTTGGAACAACACAAAAAACAAGAACAAATATGCATGCACACACGCGCGCGCACACGTATGCACGTGTGCACGCACACACCCATATACACAACATATGAATGCATGGTGGCCAGAGCATGCAGCATCACTATGAGGACAAAGGAAAAATTTGGGCATGCAGCTAAGGTTTCAAATTTTGTTTCTCACAATCAGAAACTAAGGTTGAAAGGAGCTTTTCTATTGTAAAAAATCTGAGGAAAGGAAATATAGCACTTCGCCTATGGCACGGAAGCCTAAAAGAACCAAAGTGCATGCTGCTTGGATCATGTATGCCATTAGATATCAACTTGCCTGCCATGAAAAATGACCAGACAGGTGCATGCTACTACTGAGCAAATTAGCAGCATTTAGACCAATACACAATGACCCTGCAAAATAAACAACCTGTCCCCATAATAAATTGTTAGAAACACTTTTTGACATCTGCAGCCATGGCAAAACCATATCCAACTGATTGTTGAGGATCCCAGGATTCTCCTATACATGTCATTTTGCTGACATGACAGCATCCAATTGACCTTACTTGGCACAAAATTTGTGGTCATATACAAGTATTTTGATAGGTGGGTGGGTGATTTCTTGCCAAGCATTGGAAACAAAGGCCCCGGAAATAGCCATTTTACAAGGTGTCAAGAACCTTTCCTAAATACCATTGCATGCTATGCATGGAGCATATCATTCAAGAGAAGCTCCACATGATTTTTTTCTGATTCTAAAACAAGTTTCAAAACCTATCATGTCAAATGTCAAAAAGCTTGCATCCTTTTACCATCATGACCAATGGTAATTCAAGTACTCGCTCGAGATAAACCTGACCTTGACATGACAAGTTTTGAAGTGCAAAACCCCTCAAAATGGCAACAGCTTTCCAACATTATCTTACTTCTCATGGAAGATAACAACAGCTCCCCAACACTATCCTCCTTCTCATGTGTCAAGCCCCCTTCTCAAGTCTCTAGGCTGCTTGGGACCCTATCAGCCACAAACCCAGGCCAGAGGCATTCACCACCTGGCTGGGTATGGGCTACATTGGCAAAAACTGGTGTATATTTAGGAGGCCAACACTCAGAGCAGCATGAACATGTAATCAAATATGAGCCTGCACATACTGGAGCAGCCATGTTTGTTTTGTAAATCATAGCACACCTGTGCAAAGCATTCCATATCTTCTGTATATGAATAGATTATCATTATTCATCAGCCAGGGCATTATTTGTTCATTGATATGCTACCATATTTGTTTGCATCTTTATTTATCACTTTTAACAATGTGTTAAGGCTCTGTCCAGTTGTGTCCAACCTTAGGGCTGCATGCTGCTTTGGTTATTGTCTGTTAAGATAATGCATGACAAGAAGTAAAGATCAGCTGTCTGCTTTGCTGCAGAGGTTTTAGGTTATGTCAACTGCTATGGTCACCTCATCTGATTGATCTGCTTGGGATATTCAAGTATGTAACCTTGTCATTTACTTTCCCCATGTCACGCAATCACCAGTTTCAGCTCATGCCTGGGGGTGCATGCTGACTGGTTGAAAATGCAGCTGAGCTGTGACTGGGGGCCTGACATGCACATCATCTATACCAGGCCCAAATTATCCCTAGAATGAACATTAAAGGCTCATAATCCATCAAATGATCAGTTACCACTGGACACATATTAGGTCATGTCAGGTGATGTGCATCAAATGGAACTCTGCAAAAGGAACTCTGTGACATGCCCATACATATAACATGATATGAAACAAAAAAAATATGTTGTCAAACCATGGTCCAGATTTTACCCTCAAACCCTGCAGTTGAAAGGAACATGATTAAAACAATAGAACACATGCTTTCCTTTTTATTGCTAGAATTATATAATATATGGCAATATATCAGAATTATCCCTAGAATGAACATTAATGGCTCATAATTCACCAAATGCTCAGTTACTACTAGACACTATATTAGGTCATGTCAGGTGATGTGCATCAAATGGAACTCTGTGAAAGGAACTCTGTGACATGCTCATACATACCTGACATGAAACAGAAAAAATATGTTGTTGTCAAACCATGGTCCAGACTTAACCTTTAAGCCCTGCAGTTGGAAGTAACCTGATTAAAAATGATTGAATACTTACCAAACATTACATTAATTATTCCCCGATCCACAACAATCAAGCATACTTTGAGAAAACTCATTTCCCACAATCATCATGAAGAACTTGAAATACTGAAATGAAAAGACATGAAACAACCAAATGCTCTGCTGGCAATTCAACTACATGAATTTTACAACAAATTTGAAAAGCACTTCTTAAATAATTGCAGCACATTCTTAGATCAAAATGCCTCCCATGTGGGTGCCCATTGGATGTGTGTCTAAATATGTAATTAACTGACATAAGAAAACATTGTGAATGTTCATCAATTTCTTTTCAAAAGTTAGCCAAACTTCTACCTTACAGTCAACCATCCTATTTTGATATAATTTTACACCTAACCCAAAAATTGATGCCACACACCCAGGAAGAACAAGTACACTTCTGCTAAACCAAATCAACTATCATGAGACTGTCTCATTCATAGAACACTGATAAGAACTAGTGCCTCTACACACAGATTATCACATTATATCAACCAGTGGTGATACTGTCACTTGGAGGTCAGGATACCCAGCCAGCCCAGGCTGTTAAAAACATTATCCTATGTCCCTGGATATCCAGAAATATAAAGGTACTGAGCCTGTGACATGTATAGGCAGAACACAATGTATGTTTTATTAAAGGGAGTGTTCTACATTTGAAAACATTGAAGCAAGCATCATTTATGATGGAAGGGGTTTACTTAAATTATTGGTACACTTTGTCAAAGACTGCTCAACATAGCACAGCTTCTCTATTTAATAAATGTGATCCCCAATGAAAGTTTTAGCTTGTCACCATATGCTGGACAATATTGAGAACTAATTAACAGCTGTTCTATCTGGAAATTGTGCTCAACTCCAGACCAGATGTGAACAACTCCTCAATGCCAGACATGAACAACCCAACAACACCAACCAAATTAAAAAACTCATCAATTGTATTTCCATTGGCCTCAATCACTGCATAGTCAGTGGAATGCCAGGAACTGAAAGACATCTTCCTGGGAATACAGGATGACCTTGAAATGGTATGCATTAACAGTCTTACACATCTTTGCTGGCATAAAGTTCAGAAAATGGGCAGGTTTAGGATACCCATATGCATGTAGTTCACAGCACAACTCTGATACGATGCTGGATATGAATATGGGGGAACATGTAACTCTTAGCGGTTTGGCAGCCAGTCTCCACATGGCAGCTGCAAAACCAGCTACCCCTTGTGATACTTTTCCCTGATACATTTTAGAATATGATGAGGCAACCATAGCCTCCACACATGTAATTTAAAACAGAAGTGATATATAATCTACAAGAAAGTAAAATCCTTTGCACATTCATGCCACTGGCTACACATTATAGGACAGCATGTTCAGGGCATAGATGTTGATGTCTGGATTACTGCTCCAAAGCAAAAATAAAAATGAAACACATAGAAAGTAACCACATCAAACAATCAAGGAATTACTCACTCTGTGCTTGTGTTGGCAATGGATATGCACCCATCTGGTACTGCATTTGAACAAAACGTTGGTTCTGCATCACCGCCGATGGCTGAAACACAGAACAGGATACTTCAGCAATCAATGTCGGCAGCGCAGCACTTAATCACAATATTCGACCCCCTCAACTTATTCGGGCAAACGTCCGGACATTGAATCGCAGAGCACAAGGTCGAAGAAAGCTGCCGGCGACGGGCGCCATTACACCACATACGCCGCCGCGCATCAAACTTACGTCTGCACGCACCATTCTTGCCATCACATCGTATGGATTCTGTTCATTGTATGGCTGATACATGCCGATGCAAATATATCAAAACCTTAAATCCCGCGAGCTTCCAACCAGCACCAAGCATATGGTGCCACGCCGCCAGGTTCGCCGCAACCACGTGCTGTCGTCACTGCGGAGCCCGACCAATCACGAAGGAGACTGCGACCAAATCCGCGGGGGCTATGGCTTTGGATCACGGCGGCCATAATGGCCGACGAGCAATAACACCATCATGCGAAACCAAAATAAATACGGATATTTTATTAGTAAAGTAAAAAGACAAAATGGCATATTTTGAGCACCATTGTCAGAATAATTTCGTAACATGTGAAGCAAAAGTCTCGGGTTTAAGCAGTGCAAAACGGCCAGAAGTACAAAAATAACCCGTAGGTGGCAGGGCAGTCGCCCACGGAATCCTGGCGGGGGTGGTCTCAATCGGCGCGGGGCGGCGTGGAACTGCGGTGTTGACGAGGCGGCTTGCGTTGCCGGCCGGTGGGCCGCTCATGAAAAAACGATTGCGGTTGCCGTTTTGGTTGTGAGACGCAGCGCAATAGGCGGCTGCCTGCGTTTATGCGACTATCGCGGGCGGTGCTGTCTCGCAAAACCGGTGGGGGATAGATAGGGGCTGTGCTTGGGGATCCCTAGCGCCAAATACAGATTTCTGTTCGGATTTGGAAGCATTTCGTGGAACTGAAGGATGGGCACCCATTTGTGTTTTGCTTTATTTGGGAGCTATGTGAGAAAACAGAAAGGAAATCATGGAATGCATCACACATGTGATTTTCTTGCAGGAAGCCTTGTGACTGGCATGTTTTTCAAGCTTTGCACGGAAGCGTTGTCCTAGGCTGGGAGATCAGAAGGGCTCGCTGTTTGGGTGTACTTAGCTGCAAGCCCGAGGGGGGAGAGGTTTAAAAGAGGGGGCAGTCGGCCCGTACCCCACCCTACAGACGGGCAAAGCTGGGCGATGCGTACACATTTCTGGATTTTGAAGTATCGCCAACTTTGGGCTATAATAATTTTGTTTTAGAGCAAGGTAACGGAACCAAAATCCCATGGTTGAAAATGCGGACCCCTTTTAGATCACTCCACCGCCCATGCCGTGATTGGCGCCTCCCGAGGCGGCGTTCTGGATCCGTCCTCGGAGGGGTGAGGCGGGGGGGGGGGGGGCGGGGGGCTCAGCTGTAAGTTCGGGAGCTCAGTCGTATGTTGAGGAGGCTCGAGCCTCATCTGGATGCGTACTGAACGTGCGGTCATTAACACTTGTGCCATCTGTAATCGGTCGCTTTCGTCAATTAGCCAAGAGCCGACGCGCGGACGATCCGGATAATCTCAGCTTCCGCACACAAGCCTCCAGTGGATGAGGAACATTCAGCACAAGGGGTGGCGGGGGCTGCACTCTGGCTGCCATGCCTCGACCGCGCTCGCCAGGTGGCCACGCTGGGTCCTGGGGACGGTGCAGCTGCGCGCCGCTGCATGTGCCGTGCACAGCTGCACACCTGGCGTCCCATGGGAGAGGGGGGGGTGGGGTGATGCGGACGTCGAATACGGCACTCCCAATCTCGGCAATCTAGGCATGTTGGGTCGGCCAGCCTCAGGAACAATACAATCGTCCTGCCGTAATCCCACGAAGGAGGAAATTAAGCATCGAGCCCCTTGACCCTACGAAAAATTCAACAAATTTGGACCGCACTGCCAGGTCTTTTTTGTGCGGTGGGGTTAGTTTATACATGCATGCGTTTTGCGTGCTTTTTAACCCTGATCACTTCCTGTTGTTTTTAACATCTTGTTTTATCTAGCAGACTAATGATGCGCAATGGCCACGTATGCATGTGGAATGTCAGCTGATGTTAAATACAAAAACTCGTTTCGTATGGATCGTTTATAAGATGGGTCCTTATTGCGGTGAAACAGACAGAACAGGGATCATTGAATGCAAATGGAAATGACAAGGGGCCCTTCATGCTTCTTAAGTACGATGGACCGACATCGTGTTTCCTCATGACGGAGCGCACCTTCGGCTACGTTCAAACGCTCTCGGTCTTTAATGATACTCTGCGTTGCAATCTCGTGCACAATTACAGCGAATGACGTCCACGTTCCCACTGCATTTGGCAGTTTGTCAGCTTTTTCCGTCCGTCAAATCGCAACGTGCAAGAAATTAGGCTGCCTATGTGTATCTGTGCGGACACCATGGGACAAGTTGGGCAAATGGCTGGTTGAGATGCATTCGTTCCTTGCCTGTTGATAGGTGGGGCGGTCAAGCGGAAAAACAGGTGGAGCGGAGTTATGCTAATACAGTTCTACGCAACATCAACAATCCACTAGATGATAAGTGAATTCCAGTTTCGATTCCCACTCAATATGCTTCACCCTACGACTAGTGGTAATGTAGAAGACGCTTCAATAGTGAATGTTTTCGAGTTCAAGTAGCGATTACATCCATCAACTTCTCCCTCCCCCTCCCCCCCCCCCCACACACCACAAATAAGGTGTCTAGGAAACAAATACTACGATATACTGCTAGAATGCATCAGCCCGTAGCCAAAATTGCATTATGATCCACTGTAAGCTGCAAGGAAGGTCCTGGGCCGGTCAGGCCCGAGCGCATGACCTCTGGTTTACATATACGGTGGCGATGCCGGCCGCGGCTACGAGACCGCGGCGCGATAGTCTGCACCTGCGAGACCGCGGTGCGGTAGTCTGCACCTACGAGACCGCGGTGCGATAGTCTGCACCTACCAGACCGCGGTGGCGATAGTCTGCACCTACGAGACCGCGGTGCGATAGTCTGCACCTGCGAGACCGCGGTGCGATGGTCTGCACCTACGAGACCGCACACCGTCGCTCACAAGTTGAAGAATTCATGGGGCATCGTGCAGAAAACCGCACCCTTGTACACCACGGCAGTTTGACCCCCCTCTAGATAAGAACGCCACTTAGATCAGAGCTCTTTTGGTGCCAGGTTCACCGAAATCGACACCATAGAATTCAATCCACAGCTCTCCGAAATGCATGCATTCAAGACGCGGAGCCCGTATTGGCTGGTGGGAACACTACGCCGTCTGGCAGTGACGTCGCAAATTAATCCTCGGTGTGTGGGGAGGGGGGCAAGAATGGAATAAACCGTACGGAAGGACTGAGACGAGGTACTAGTATGTTACACATGGCATCATTGTTCGAACTAATGTAATCGTCTGGTGTATTAGCATGTACGATACGTCTATGTACATCTACATCGTCTATGTATGTACATCAGTGAGGTCTCTGGCCGTCGCCAGGTGTTATGGAGTCCTTAGAAAAACCAGATAATACCTGGATTTGTCATGTACGCGTGGCAACCCGAAATTTTCTGCTTGGAAGTGCTGGGATTCGAACCTAGGTCTACTGATTGCAGGTCATCTGTTGCGACCGGAAGGTAACAACACGGAAGGATCTTTCCAGTTAGCTCAGCTAGCGGAATCGCGTGCCGGAACCGGGAGGGCACTGGGAAGAGCCCCTCCGGTTGCCTCAGTTGGTAGAGCACTGGCCTTGCAATCAGAAGACCCAGCAATTCCAAGAAGAAACCCAGCAATTCCAAGGACAAGTTCAGGTGGCACGACCAAAGACTTAACTTGGCGAAACGTTGTGTATATACTGACGCAACAGGCAGGGACGATAATCCAAACAACTATTCCCTGTGTGGTTCTTAACATTTCTGCATTCCAATCAATTTTGGCATTCCGATCGAAAGCCGTGTGGCGTGCATTCGCTGCAATTCCTCCCAAAACCTCGCTGCATTCGCGTTCCTATAAAAGTGAGATAGATACCTGCTTCGCCGAGCAACGACACGGTCCACAACAGCCATTCGCATACAATGAGCATAGGTGTTGCATCGTAATGAGCAATCGGCAGCCTTTGTGGTGTTTATGGGCGCGTCAAGTGCAGCGGTCATAGAGCACCCAGATACTTAGTACTCACATTGCCCGGCATTGTTGGCTGCAACACAAAAACCTGCCAGCAAAGAACGCAGGAATTACACAACATTCATGAACATTCGTGCAGATAGCTTGTAATGTTGCACCACTTGTATGGCCCTTCCCCTCTCGCGCTGTCACGAACACAGCGCACACGACAAGGCGTGTCACGAAAAAGCACTAACACTCACAAACCAGAGCGGAAATTGCTGACGCGACACACGTTTCTTACCTTCAAACCAACCTATTTAGCACAAGTTTATTTCAACTGCTAGCACTGCCACCCCAGGACATGCAGAGCGGCCGCGACTCTGGCTTCTCCCGCCCTCGTTAGCACTCTCTCCCGCTGGTTCTGACTCCCTCTCCTCGCCCCTCTGGCTCTCCCGTCCTCTCCGCCGCTCGCTATCGTCTGTGCGCCCGTCTGCCTGTCTCACCTGGCCCGGCTGCTGTCCGGAGATGTATGATCCGGGCGGGGGGCACCATGAACGGGGCCGGCGGGGGCCGCGGCCCGCCCATGGCCGGAGCCGCGCCACGCGGACCGTAACTCATGCTGCTACCCTGCTGCCCGCATCAGCGACGACTGCTGCTGCTGCTGTTGCTGCTGTTGCTGTTGCTGCTGTTGTTGCTGCTGCTGTTGCTGCTGCGGTGGCTGATGCAGCTGCTGCTGTTGCTGCTGCTGGTGCGGCTGCTGGTGTTGCTGGTAGGCGGCCGCGGCGGCACTGCCGGCGCCTCCCACGTCCACTGTGGACCAGCGCAGTTCGGTCAGCGGCTCTCCACTCCATCCGTCCCACGCGCAACCGAGCCTGCACCACACGCGACCACGCACGGCAGCCGCCGCCGTCAGGAGCACACTTCAACACACGCCAACAATGTCTGCGCTACAGGAAGTGCACAGTGTACAGCAGAGGACGATCTGGTGACGTCAAACACTTGTCGTACAAGGCCGGCTTTTACGCTCGTTTCCAGACAAGGCCGCTGCGTTTAACGTCCACGCACCGCGCGCATGGGCAACAACAGCAATATCATTCAGCCGCGAACAGCCCCACAACACAGCTGGTGTTTCTCTGCACACCAGACCGCGCTGACCAGCCCCCACGAGTCGTGTCGCCTCGCTCGCCACAGGGACACGCTGGACGTGGCACATAGGCCAAAATGATAGGCACTGGGCCGCAGATACAGTCACACACTTCACACCCGTCCGCGCGCAACATGGCTTTCATGGTTCGGCATTTCGACAAAATAGGATCATATGAGCGAATGAACACATCACCAAGTATGCATATGGACGTAGCCACGCATTAAAAGTGAATGGGATCCATTTCTGTTTTGATGACATTTTGAATGAATAAAACATGATCTTTTATCACCAACCCATGATCAAATCGTCCAACCGGCTAGATAACTGAGATTCAGACGCCACCCACCCCGATACCCGCTACAACCATCTTGTGTTTGGGTTGGCTGGCATAAAACTGCACTTTTAAAATTGGTTTCCTTCCGTCCGGTGTACGCCGCGTTTGGTCCGTCGTCAGCACGTTTCTGAGCACCAATCACGGCCCAGTATTCACCCTACGTCACGTCACGTGACCACAAAGTCACGTAGCCTGCGACGTCACGCGCCGGCTGGCGATGATGCCAGGATTTTTTGTCGGCCCGTCCGCATGGAGAGAAAGCGTTACCAGATTAACTAATCACTCTGGCAACGAAGCATGTGCTGGATTTGGTAGCTCTTGGGTTGACAAGTATCTCAGGCGACTGGGACACATGTATCTGATTTTGAGGGAATGCAACGAATACAAAGAAAAGAACTGAACAGCCAAGAGTAGCCTTGACAAGTTCAGTGACAGTGATTGGTGTGGTGTGTGGTTGCGTTTCCCAGTAGATTAATAGCAATGCAGTGATCGCAAAAGATGAAGAACAGCAACTAAACGCCACCGGTCTTGAACCTGTCTTTTGCCAGTACCAGTTGGAGTTTAATGAAAATATGGGTTCACGCCAACACAAGAAGCAGTGAAGGATATAGATGTAGAGCGGCTCCACAGAGAAAAAATGAGAACACTTAAAATAAGAAGGGAACACATTGAAATGAGATGGAAATGGAAAGCACTCAACTCACGCATGACATAAATGATGGTAATATCAGAGTAGAATCTACACTTCCAAACACCACTCTATGGGTAGTGTCTCATGGTCGGCGGTGAGCCAGAGCTAGTAAAGTATTAAAAGATAAGGGAAAAAGGAGGACGAAGTTAAAAAAAAACGTTCCCGTCATCCTACACAATGAAGTGCTCCATCAGCACACGTGACGTCACGCGTTCCAGCTGACAATCGTGCTAACGACAGATCAAACAGGGCCGTAGTCAGTGCCCAAGAATCACGAAAAGATCGTGATAGCAAAAAGCGAACATCCTCAGAATGTATTACTGTACCTTCCAAAATGTTTCGCGTGACATTATTTTTATCCATCTATCATTCCGGGCCTGCATGAATGTGTGCTAATGTATATTATGTAATATATTTGGGTATGTGTCGTTAGATCTTTGAAATGTTCCACTTCAGTCACTGACGTAAGGCGCCGATACAGCGCACAGGTTTTGAAATACTTCGCAATAGTAATTGGGGCTTTCGGGCGCTTGACCTGCGCGGTTATATAGCGCCCATTTGTTTTTGTTAAAGGGCTGCAAAAAAAGCATGATATACTGCGCCGGACGGGAAGTGAGTGCCGCACAATAGCCGAAGCGGCTGCGTCAAAGTCCACAGGCCGAGGTCCAAGGTCCAGGTCCGGCATTCCGCAGCTGCAACCGAGCGACATCCACTGACGCATGCGCAGACCACCGTGTGCCCGGACCATGCTCGTGTTCAACGCGTGGATCTGTGCGTTCGCCGAGGCGCTGGGTTTCTAGCATGACTGGAAAAAAACTGCCAGGCTAAGGTGTGTGCGCATCTGGAGAAGAGTAATTTCAGCGTGTATCGCTGACCCAGGCGTCTAAATTGGACTTAACAGCCCTGGCAATCCGTTCCTGAACCAGTAATCCTTCATTACCCTCATCACTTGTTCCAGCCTCATTACCCACTTCTCGCCCTAACAGGGACGTCAGTTTATATACTTCTGGAGTCAGGCCCCCTGTAACAGCTTTAGCTCTGCTCCATGCAGACTTGAGGCCCCTCCCCCACGCTCCCCCGAGCCCTTTCAATGAACAAGGTCAAGAAAGTAATACTGGACCAAGGATATGCAGAAAGTCCTTTAACAAGTCTGTTCTCCCACTTATCGATATGCATGTTGAGAAGGTCGTGTAAGTTCCGCTTTGTTTATATACATAGATACATCCTGCCAGTGTACGCAATTGTTTTCGTAGCCTCACGCCTGTAAGTGTGAGGCGGCGATATTCTGCATCAAATCGAATTATTGCCCTCGGGCCGTCTTTGATTAAAGTTTCACGATTTTTTGTTGTTCACACAACCGGTTGCTTTATTGGGATGTTCTTTACTTACTTCTGTGGAATACGCTCAATTCTAAGCTTGTCACAGGATTCAACTCCACGTCGGCTTGGAATGAAAATTCCAACCTTGTGAATAGAACAATGTTGGAAATGGACACAAAAACTGAAAAAGTTTGGTTACTTTTGATATCGGAAACGCAACTTGAAGTGACGCAAGTTCGAAGAAATCAGGCGTTGGGGTCAGGCAAGTCGGCTTGATCGATTTAGCCCCATCCAAGGCCTTTTTCTAGCATACTATTATTCATCGTTGCGAATGCAGTGAAAACCCCGTTGCGTCATAAACTTGGCACACCATCAATACATGTAATGCCTACATCAGTGGATCTGTACTGAACTAGCTAAAAAATGTGTTTCAGGAATTTCCTTGTTTTCGACAGCCCGGAACCTTGAGAAGACTCAGTGACCTTTACCAAATATGTCTACCAAGAAAAGCAATAGCGATTCCTTTGCGAGGACGACGGCACATCTCCAAACAGAAGCTGACGCACGTCTGCGGCAAGTTATTGGCAATCAAGCGATGAAAGGGCTTCCCCATCCAGTAACATTCCACCATCAAATGATGCAAAGCCGTTTCCACAATAAACTAAGCCACCATGAGAGCATAACAAGACACTGCTCGGCAGCTATGCATGATCTGGAGTCCTGGCCACGACAGAGGGTCGGGAGCAGGGTGGACGGGAAGAGTCAGTGAAAACCACGCCGTTACATGACAAGAACCGACATTGAAAACGATACGTTACCGGCTGTGCTGTGCAAGCTACTTGTTTACCAGCAGCAAAAGAGCACGCATCTCCATTCACGGTTGCTGACGGCTACTGGCGTGCAAGGCGCTGATTGCGGGCTTTTAGGCTTGTCGACGGTGGTTCTTTCACCGCGATACCACCACCCACTGCGACCGAGGCCGGCGGGACATGTAAGGGCGCGCCCCGCATGGCACGCCCGTCTCAGACAGTGCGCAAAACCGCTCGGAGGCGGCGGCGGCCAGGGTCCAGCGGTCGCGCTCCGGTCCGCCGGCTGCCGGCGGATTAGCCGCTCGTGGCGGACGCGCCGTCAGCTGGGCGCTGGCCCGGCCCGGCGCGGCCCGGCGCGGCCGAGGGGAAGCCCGCCAGTGGCTGACGCAACGCCTGATAACGCTGCGGCGCGCCGCAAACAAACCGCCCCACACGGCGCAGCGGGCTGGTGTCGCCGACCGACAGCAGAGGGGGCCGGTCCGCTGCCGGCACGCGTTGGCGACGGCTGGCAGCGGAGATTTCCCATCCCCACTCCGCCGATGCGGCCACTGCACGTGGCGACAGCGCGTCAGATAACCGGCTGGACCGCTGGACTGGGCATCAAAGGGCCGTCGGCGCCGAACGGGCCGGAACGCGCGGCGGTCACCGAGCGGCGGCGGGACGGACGCGGCTCTCACCGGGCACGGTCCGCAGTAGGTCGCCGCCCGGGTCCGTTCCGAGCCAGCGACGACACGGCTCAGATCCGGCCCGTCCAGGTCACGATCGCGGGCCGGCGCTGCCGTCGCCGATGACATGGCCGCCGGGCCGCGTCCTCGCACGCTCCGGGTGGCACCGGCACCGACGCACGCACACGCACCCGCGCACACGCACGCACACACACTCCAGCAGCGCGGCGGTGCCTGCCTGTGGGCGGAGCGCGGGCCGGCTGCTGGCGGCGCGGCCGACCGGAAAACAGGAATGCCGCGCTGCCTAACTGAGCCCGTGCCCGCCAGCCACGCACCGCGCCGCGCCGCGCCGCCCGCTTGAATGGCCATCTGCAGCGTACGGTCATTCAAGCCGCGCCGCCCGACGGGCCGGCCGGCCGGTCCGGCCTTGATAGCGATAGCCGCCGCCGCCGCCGCCGCCGCCGCTGATGTCAGCCCGACGGGCGAGCGCCACGCAAGACCACGGCACGTGCGTGCTGGCCGTTCAAACGCCCGCTGCAGCCGGGCGCATAAAGCAAACTATAGGTTGAAAC